AAGAATGGGACACAGCTGATGTGAATCTTTGCATATAGGTGAGGTTGACTGCAGCTTTTATTGTAGGCTAGTCTAGTTGGATTTTTTCTTTGGGGGAACCCCTGATGTCACTATCTGTAGGTCTTTTTGCTTGGGTAGTGGATTTGCCACGGAAGAGTCCTCCAAACCATCATCTTAACATTTTGGTTGCTGGCATTTGGCATTCATTATGCATACATTTACCTACTTCTCTTGTTTGCAATGTGCTATTACTGCATTATCTGTGTGTGCTGTCTTCCTGTTCAGTTGCTTGCTGTCTTCCACCTTCTTTAAAGGTAGACCAGTTGTCTGTTGGCATGGACATGTAATCTAGAGTTCTTACTCTTTTAAGCAGACTTGGAGTCAGTCTTCCTGTTTTAAGGCCTACATTTACTTATACATAGTGACAGAAGTCTCAGAGTCCTTTGGGGCTACAAACCAGGTTATTTTGGGGCATGTTCTCTGGCTTTAGTATTTGCCTTTCTTGATCCTGGTTCTATCAGTTATCACTCATCCATCTGCTTTGCAGCTTCTAAAATCTTATTATTGTCTTGTTGTTTATGTGCTGCCCCTAAGTATTTATCTTTCTGTTTTGAATCCCATGGCTTTGGTTTAGGGAGGTTTTGGGAAAGAGAAGTAACTCTGTGCCATTTCTCACTCAAGTTGCCCATTTGCTTCACCGGGAGCTCTTCCTCTGGCTTTTTTCAGGCTCTTCTTTCTCTGCTTGTTTCATAAATATGTGTTTAGTCCTTTTTATGCTACTTGATCTGACTGCTTTTTATTATCCACTGCTAAGGTGTCAGCCACCACCCATTCATTGAGGATTTCTAAATTTATCACTCCAAGTTAAAAGAGTGGTAGACTCATTTAGTCAGTTTCTTCCTACACATCTCATCTGGGGTGTTTTGCAGGTGCCTCATGCAGTGTGTGCAAAAGAAAATTCACTGTTTTTTTACTTCTTCCCTGTATCCCCTGGTAACTTCTATCTTTCTTTCTAAGTGTAAAACAAAGTTTATTGAGGAATAGAAAAATGGTTTACAGAGCAAGAGCAAGATTTAGATTTACAAAGCAAGATATGTTTGATGGCCATAGAACAGGCCCCCATTGTTGCAACAAGGAAAAGACCCTCTATGTGACTTTCTCTCTTTGAATTTTCTGTTTCTGTGTATTTCATATGAATGGAATTGTGTAACATTTGTCTTTTTTTTACTTTTTATATTTGTCCTTTGTGTTAGGTTTGTTTTACTTAATGTTTTCAGGGTTCATCCATGTACCAGAATTTCATTTTTTGTATGACAAATGACATTCCATTGTATATACCACATTTGTTTATCCATTCATTTCTTT